GAAGCAAAGCAATCTTTGAGCCATTCCAGATTTAATACCTACAAGTTGTGGTCTAGCGTACAGGCAGCCGCGTTGATGTAGAAATTCTGTTGTATTTTTTCAGGTCCACCCAATTGTTATGCACCTGAGATAGATTAGGTCTGCCCGTCTGAAAAGGTAGCGCCTGGAGAACAGGCTCATACACTGGCGTCAAGGGGAATTAAAGAGATTCCGAAGACTATGCATATGGACCTTCACATTCAAATCACATTCAAGTGTTGAGAGAGGGAAAGTAGCTAGTAGACCATACTTGAGATTAAATCAATGTGAGTACCCCTAAGTTTACTGATCCGTGGTGTCGTGGGGATAAAGGTATATGTTGTTAACAGCGGATATTCTCCTCTGCTTAGCATCGTAGATTTCGGGTCAGAGGCGTTTTCTCGCAGAAAGTTTGCAATGTTTTATTTGTCAAGTGAATGTAAGGTGTAAGATGTTTGATAGTTTATGGGTCATGCTAAATCAATTGATTAGCAAATCAGTAGCTCTAGTTTGGTTCGTAGTCCAGCAGCTACGTCGACCTCGAACACATCAGACTAAAGCAGGATGTCATCGGCATAGGTTAAGTAACTACTTAAAATGCTAAAGGAAAACGATGATAAACAGCTCAGGTCCAAGTAATAATATTGTGAAATTCTTATGACTCGCATAACCTGGCTGGGAAGCAACTACCTCACTCTCACTTGCATAGTTCAGTTTTCTAGAAGATCGGCGAGCTGGGAGTACAGAATACTAGTAATACTAATTTCCTGAAACGCTTTGCTAAATGTAGCAAAAATATAACCTAAGCGTTGACCAACGGATATTAATCTTGCCCACTTTACTCTTTCTCTCACGATGAGCATCTTTTGAATGTTTTGCACGAGTTTCTCAAAGTGTAATCATACTGTGGCACACCAACGTGTTTAAGACAACTTTAGATCTATATTTAGCGCATTTCCTCTACTGTGTTAGCCTTCTCTCTGACTTAGAATGTATCGGTGAGTCCAGTGTACTGGTGGTTGTTTACTCAGCTTTGAAAGATCAAAACTCGTGTCCACCTGAAGAGAAGGGTACGGTGATCCTCAAGATCAAATTATGAAAGACTGGTTATTACAAATTTTTAAATGGAACCGTATGAACACCAGCTGGAGAATATGTTCCGGCTGGCCAGGAAGAATCATATTGGGCGTGGAGAGATGAGTGATAGTTTGCAGCAAGGATTGCTAAAAGAAATCAAAAATTTAATCCATCTAATGAAATCTCATAGTTGCGTATATTAGAGGGCGTTAAAGTTACACGAATTGCGAGTCCCCGCAACTCCTACACTTTCTGAGTGAGAGCAGGACGCCGTCACCATGACTTTTTCTTACCCGGTACAAAGCGTCGAACGGAAAACTTGCCCCGAAATACTCCCAAAGTTGTAATCAGTCTTTATTGGTTTTAAAAATTTGGTCCTCACTGTCAAATGCACCAGGAACTTATTATTTCCCCAGCTCATCCAGCTACTAGTCACATCGGAGGAATTGTCTTTTACAGGTGGATTCACTGTAATAATCTCTGTTAACTACAGCTTTAGCTGAATGTTTAACACACTTGCTTTATTATCTGAGCAACAATGAAAGGCTACATTTGAACTAATGCAAATTGACAAACAAATTGACAGTAGTGATATCAACAGCCGGTATGGTACCATAATCCGTATATTCAATGGAATCACTAGCAGGTGATAGAGCCAGCGCATCCGTGCTTGTGGTTTAGCTGTACACAATATGTACCATGTGAAGAAGAAACTTAGAAAAACAACATGTGACTGCTTGGATAATTTCACAGTGGACGCACAATCATAATTCACGAAATGATTCACAACTTTGTGGCCGGTAGATCAGTCGCACAACGAAAGTAATTAGCTTGTAGGCGCGCACTGGAGCGCAAAATTGCTACTAGTCGTGATAAGCACATTGTTAACGCTCGCCTGCGGATGATGTCTTAATTTAATAACGAAAGGTGTAGGCAACTCGCTAATATCATTTTGGTAGCTGGGTGTATATATAAGGAGCTTTATTAGCTAAAATCACCTTGCCGAGTCGCAGCAGTGTGACAAGTAATTTAGACTTGGTCCCAGCAGTAACTTAATGTCTCGTTTACAGAAGTCCTCCATTGTTTAACGACAGGAAAATCAAATCAGGACTTGCGTGTACTTGTTTACAACACCGCAGTGCTTATTTCACGTGAAGTTCAATCAAAGGATGCTCGGCGGCTACCATGAAATGGTTGCATCGAATTTTTAACGACCATCTCCCAATGTATGACCCTTATGCAGTTGATAGAATTTCGTAACATCGCTTGCTGGTTTGCTTTTCGATTTCTGTCCTTCTTAGTAGGCTTCTAACAACATCAACCCATTTCTCGTTCTAATCCTCTAGCATTATTAATGGACATCTCGTGCATCAGCCCCAAGTGGGACTCTCGCAATACCGTCTCCAACAGTACACATTTCTGCGCATTGTCTTGACCTAGAAAAAAGAAAACATTGATAGTTAATTGCATGTGCTTACGCTTCTATGTGGCTTATGATATATGCCGCTCAGAAGCAAAGTTTAATAGATACCATGCATGATTCTAAAGCAGTAGGTGCAAGATATTAAGCCCATGCAGTTAAGCGCAAAGTGACGATACTTCATCCTCTGAAATGCATGGAGAGGACATCCGTGTCCTTAATATATCACTTTAAACATTTTAACAATCCATCAATCTATGAGTCTGTGGTTAGCCTTTGATCGCCTGAATCACGAGAAGTGCTCCTGTGTCTAACACACATCTGCTCCGAAGGCAACATATCCCACTAACTGCTGGTACCTTCAGTTCAGTTTCGAAAGTATTTGCGTAAATATAAAAGTTCTTAAATCAAGCAGTAGTTTCTTGGCAACATTCTCAGATCCTTTCTTGAATTTTCGCTATGTGACAATGATGCCACTTGAAATTTTGCTAGCGATCTACAAAAGCTAGTCAACAGATTTATGCAACGCATTGTACTTGTACTGTGTAGTTTGACTCCTTCTTACCGTAGCGTTGTTATGGGGATTAAGGGTGCTAGCCATTTCACTCAGCCTCCTTCTCTGTTATCAAGAGCACATAACGCGTTATCGAAATTCATCCAATTGCTTATGCAATTATATTACTATAAGAAAAACACTTGGATTCCATTAACTAGTAATAACCTTACCACTGTATCTGAAGCTATGACAAAATAGTAGAATATGGCTGGAATAATCTTCCTCGACGATAAGGGATTTCGATCATTCGTCATTTGAAGCAGATCAGATTAGTGGGAGCACTCTTCGGATTTAAAGTTAAGATAAAATTTTGCACAACAAAGTAGCTAGACACCTTTTAGAGAGCAAAATAACAATCCAAATATTTTTTCATTAGAGCGTATGTAGATAGCGTTTGTATTCATGTCGAATATCAGAAAGGTTGGGTAGTGGTTCCGAAGACACTGACCTTTAAGTTTTGTAAAAGACGCATCGTGCCGGTAAGGTTCATTTCTGGATATTAAGTGAAGCGGAGAGCAAGTGGACCGAATCATTATTTAGAGCTCTTGTCAAACTATGCTGGTTCCATTGGAAACAAACATTGTGCAGCTAAGGGAACTCTTGAGTATTTCTTTCGTACAATATAAAAGCTATTTCAAACAGCGCAAGCGTAACTGTAATAAATGACGGCTGATATTAATGTTTACGAGCAGAAAAATCCACCAGCATTGATGCCCGAAAAGAAAAATACTGAGGATATGTTGTGAAGCAGTGGGACACAAACAAATAAAACCAAGAATAACATAGCACTAAAAGAACAATGGGATTAACTAAGCCTGGGGAAGCAAAGAACAAGGTACGCGATAAAACGCGCACAGCAACATGAAGCACCTTTTAATCACATTACAGTTATAGTTTCAAACCTAGTGATGGAAATTGGTGATGAGTTATACGATGTTGGCCTACTTACTCTTTGGCGCAATCAGCATAAAGACAGCCTGCTTCTACCTATAATCATTATAACGACGGCTTGCTTATTTTCAAGCCAAATGAACACGTGGCCAGATGAGACATGGAAGTGTAGATAATATCACTCAATGGAGTGTTCGCTTGAAAGCAGGTCCCCAAGGGCCGTTTCCATAGAGTGCCGTGGCATTTTACTCAAACTACTGTCAATACGCACATTTATTCCCACTCTATTCCAACGGTATTTTTATTTCTTTTAATCGTCAATAAACCCAAAAGACATCTTTTGTTATGACAAGTTAACACTGAAACTTCTGTCTCTATTGCCCGATTATAATGCATGGATTGATCATATCAGGCGATGAACCAATTTCACGTCCTTTTGAGAAATATATCGCTTATGCTTTTTCGTTACTTTTTTTCTCCTCATCTCGTCTTCACAATGTTTAAATTCATGTAAGCATTATCATAGCAAACAGTGACGCACGCGTTTGACTGTATAATTGGGTGTGACATATTTGTATGCTTACATCACAATACTACGTCAATATTATTAGTGTTTTCTAAAAACCGGTTTTATCTAATTAAATGTGTTGTGAAACATTTCGGAACAATGTAAAACATTGGTTAAATTGGCAATACCTTGGCCTTGGGATATGCTGATAACTTGTCGGTATTTTTCAAAGAATTGGGAAATATTTGGTTTCAGCGTCAGTAATTCGACAGTGGCAATAACTAATCCATTACAAGCCTGGAAATAGTTCTGAGTGATCCGGCAAGTGATTGCAATTCTCGAGGTCAATGTTATCTAATCGGACCCGTATCCATATGTTACCCTGTCATCAGCAAATTGGACCTACACATATATTTAGAAATAATAAATATACATACATAGACATGTATATATATATACCTCTTTGCATTTGATTCCTTGCTGCAAGTATATCACCACCGACATACATATGCGCTAACATCCCTTCATAGTATTTATTGTCTGGATCCTGGATACGTATTTTGGATGGCAGTACTTGCGGCGCCAATGAGTTGCTCTATATCACCAGCAATTACGAAGAATTGCCAAAGGAAGAGTTCATATCTACTTCAAATACCCTGATGGTTGTTTTTGCACATTCCGTTGCGGAGCCGGAAGATTTGTTCGAGGCTTCATACAAGAGTGGTAAGAATTAGGTTTATTGGCACCAGTGTTGGATTTAGTAAGAAAAGCTAATGGTTATTTGCATATCCTGCAGCTTAAGCAGACGAGGTGCAAGTCGATGCAAATTGTACAATCAGCTTTCTCTCCGGTTGATTACTGTAAAAATTTGACATTTCTCAATGATATTTTTGGCATGCTATATCACCAGCTGAGGGAGAATCGCAAGACTTCCCGTTGTCATGGAAGTTAAAATAATGTAGAATCATTATTACCTCTGAAGAAAAATAGGAGAAGAGTAAAATGCAGAGATAACTCATTAAAACGAAATATGAACTTTATGTTTTATTTAATAGGAAGCTTCGCAATAAATTGCGGTAGAAGTACGTAAAGATTCTGCACCAGCATACGGGGAGTTAAAGTGTAAAACTTCAACAGTTACATGTTCCCCAGTTACCTGTGCTATGTTATCCTGTTCCATAAAAAATTGTGTTTCTGTGAATTTCCTATTTAATCTCCATTTTATGGGTAGCAAGCAGCGGTAGAAAATTAACCACAGTGAACTATATTCCGTGACAAATCAGCCAGCACTTTTTATCAGTTTAGACTAGGTGTAAGTGTGAGTTTGACATACGGCAATATATATATATATATATATATATATATGCACAATTGGTGAAACTCCTTTTGCTCGATGTTAGGCTAACAGATGAAACCAGTTTATATTTAAAAATATATATATATAGTTACATTTATGTGGGAACAAGTTGCTGCTAGTAGCCTAATATTGTGCAAACAGATCTTTCTAAATGAGCTTTTTCATTAACAAGGAACAAGCTCTTAATACTGTCCAGAAATTTCTGTTCATTAGATTGCAAACAGCCATGTTCAATTTAACAAATAATATTTAGGTCACCGTATTATGCCATAGGAAAACTTAGATATATAAAAATCACTTTGACCATAAGCACTTTGGTTGTTTAATTTTGGCAGCCGTTGCATGGGTAGACAAAACGCTCTTATGTGATGGGGTTAAGTTTAGGCTGGTGGAAAGTGAAACCCACCATTACACATTTGGCAAGTATGCTAGAATTTGCCGCTATCTTCTCCCAAATATCTAAATCAGTGACCAGTAAGACTTCGTCTATATCTCTAGCCCCTAGTTTTATCTTACATGCTTATTGGAAGCGAGTTTGACCATGCACAATCTGGTCGATTATTGACCAGTAGTACTATGCTGGGCTTAATGGCGATTCAAACAGAGAATGCATATACATGCTATATGATCAGAACAACATACGTTTATGTGTCGCCCTACTATACAATAAATTAACAGTCTTACTTTTATAATGATCGCAAAGGAAATTAATTAGGGATTCAAGGTGGAGTTATTCTTTCCAGCCGCTATATCCGAAAGTCCTAGTTACGCCAAGCCATCTTATTGTTTATGCCTACGGCCTTCATATTGCTTGGTCTAGATAAGTACACATGGTTACGCTACAAAATAGCTGATCGTCCGATATGACAGCAAAGACTAGTGTAGAACGATCGAGGTATTGAAAACTTGTGAAGAATTAAGGAAAATAGGAGTTCAAAACACTTGAAGAAAAATGTATTGGCCAACGTTCCAGAGGAGTTCTGATTAAGCTGAACGGTACGTAACATACTTCACTGTAGCTACGATCTATAACGCATTAGTAATAGTAAGTGAGGACGCATAAATATGTGTTTGTGAAGATAGAAATTGCACAAGACTAAAAGAAGACTAGATGCTGGATTATAACATTCCCACATAAAATTAAAATCTATCCCAAGATAGATCAGGTATATTGAGGGTTATTTTTGAAGTACACTTTGTGTGCATGGAGTATGATGCGCAATCTCCATGTGGACCGCGATTCCCATCTAAGTGTACCTTGGTCTTTCGATCACGAGGACTGTAGCTGAGGCAAATAAAAATTGGGTGTTACCCCACCCGAAAACACTGCACTAATATGACGCGTTTCGATCTTACTACCTCTTATCAGATAGAGTTAGCAGGCATGGAACTCGGGACCAAGGGGATTTCAGACGTGAGACTTAATAACATCGAAAAGTGTCATAGTAGTGCAGTGTTTTAGGGCCGGCGACCTCCAATTTCTATTATTTGAGACATGTTTATTGTCACGCTAAATTTGTCGCAAATGGTGCTGGAAATATGAGAACATTTGTGTGACTTAACTCTTGCGCAATCACCGATTATTTTGTTTACTAACAAGCTAGTAACATACTTTGAGAAAATCGGACATCACCGCTTTCTGATTTTGGCAGTGGTATTAAAGTACCGTGCCGCCCGCGGGATTTGGTTCACGCATTTGCATATACTAACCGACGTTTTAACAAGCTCTCAAATGTAGCCAAAAATGGAGCATAGTACTGTCAGTTTAAAAGTCATGGGTATTATCTCCCAGTTAATTTCTATGGTTGCTTGGCCTAAGATTCACATATAAAAAGGCATTTGCTGTTTCGGCGAACTAGAAGCAGGGTCGTTTTGCTAAGAATGTTGTGGCTGGCTGCTGAGTGACGTTGGTATCCAAACTGGCCTATTTTGATGCCACAAATAATCTCCACATTTTGCTACTGTACATTGCATGATTCACGAAGCAAGCGCGTTAATAAATTTGTTGTGGGATAGATGTTAACTTTTGCATTGCTTTCGTACTCAGGATCCCCTTACTTAATTGTATATGAAATGCTTTTCGGCCCTTTCCAATAAATTGTATTAGGAATAGACTCAATTCACTTAGTAGCTTTTTCTCTCACTTGAATGTTGTCAAACAGAGGTATGGGAGGAAGTCAGGAGCTTTGTTGCTGCAGAGTTTACGCTGATGTAATTAAAGCTGGGTAATCAAACTCAAGTGCAAGAAGCCGTGCTTCTGTCAAATATTTGGGATCCAATCACTAAAGCGTGACGCACATTTTCTAACCAAATATATCACATATATAAATTTTGATAAATGCATTGGCCAGCTGGGTAAGATATTTCATTATGTAAAAGTTAGTTAGCCTGGGGGAAATGAGAGATTTAATTTCCCCGTACATTTAGTTTCTTCCGTCTAATAAGCTCACCATTCTCACTAATCCCGATCACTCCAGTTTATGTTTTTTTACATCCTAATGTGACACCCATGACAGAAGTGCACAGCAAAACAGAACAAGTGTGGTCTTCGGTTACATTCACAACACAAACTGCACGGTTATCCACACTAGCAGGTAAGTCCGCTAGTTTGCTCATCTGAGGTAAGCAATGACTTTTCATATGATCAGAATGAATTCTATGTAAGACTTCCTAATAACTTTGAGTTATTTTATGTATGGATGCTGGCCTAAATATATATATATATACCTGTAACCAACTTTTCTAATTTTACAACACAAATATTAAGCCATTTACCGCTAATGATTTGTTGTAATTCATTTGTTTCAGCCACATCAGCGTCGTTGCAACCGGTTATCATTGTTGGAATATGCGCAACTGTCACCGCAATAAGGATATTACACACAGAAACGTGAGACAGTTTATATCCAACGTTATTTGATTGTTTCAGTTAGTAGTTATATATGAAACATTTATGTTTTTGAACCAGTGACATAAATATACAATTTAACCAATGTGACTCTGATATTCTCTACTTCATTGAGCCCCGCGCTCGCTTCATTAGTGGCACTAAGTACTTCTTCCATGGTTCATTTAACCATTATGCATGGTAAGTAAATGGAAATATACTTATAACGATCCATGTTAGCTTTTCATCAAACCGGTCTGGTTTTGACCAAAAGGGCAATTTCTTAGCTAATTTGGTGGTATAACTTTTCTTTGATACTTCATTACTAGTACGAGCCGGTTAATACACCATGTAAACATGTTGCTACGGCTAGCATTTGGTATAAAAATTTTAGGAAAACCTAATTTTTCACAACGCATAGGAGGTTCTCATAGTGGACTAAACAGAAGCCGAACATATTAGACAATGTGTAAGTGTTTATTTAATTCCATCTGATGACTTAATTAGCCATCTGCAGTAACTAGAATGCAATACAAATATGCTGATCCGCGGTCACTCCTAAAAGATTAGAAGTAAATAAATCGCTTAGCTTTAAACGTACGAAAATGTTGCGTTAACCAGTTTACATGAGTAAGGTATACCATCAGTGTTTTTTCAATTTTGCCACGGGAACAATACCCCACAGGCGTTAAACGATTTATATTTGTCAAGTATTTTATGAATATGTTGCGATTCACACACAACAATGCTTTCGCCAAGCGCTTCAAAATGCAAGTTTGGCATTTAGTTTCATAGGTTAATAATTAGAGTAACACCCCATCAAGCATTGCCAAAAAGTCCAACTTCTCAATACACTCGCTGAACATGCTACGTGTTTAAAAATGCGCTGAAAACCTGATGAGTTCCCTCAGAGCTAAAGTCTTCAAATTCGACCTGTCTTGTAGGTCATTCCGTTTACTCGAATAGCAACAAGCATAAACATAATAATGGAAGGTATTTATTGAATAGTTTCGTCTGTGTATCTTATACGAAAATTCAACCACTCATTTAAAGTATGAATGAGGCGAATATAAATTTGGAGTTAGCCGTATTCCATTGCTAGGTTGCGGTGCAGGAATATTACTAATTTGCTTAAAAGAACCGGCGATGTAACTACGTTCCAATTTTCTGCTCTTCGCCTTTGATTTAAGCCTATCGTGTGTTTTCTGGCTAAAAGAGTTGCAACAGCTCATCGAAATAATTGACGGTAGTCAACCGAGATCGTGCTACATTTCTGCCCTGCCAACCACTGAGATTTAAGCAAGCCTCCTTAAACCTACCCTGGTTAATGTATAAAAGGAAACATTTAGGTGGTGAGTTGCTCAACAGAGTGATCTCAACGTGATCGATTAAGGTGAATTTGTCCAGGACTGTTAGAAAACCTGCTCAAACTTAATATGCCTGTTGACTAGATATGAACGCCAACAATAAAACAAATCATTTAGCTGGGAGAAATTAGCAAGCGTTTAAAACTTTTTGTAAGTAAATAGCAAAAGCAAAACTCATGTATCGGGAAACATCGCTCAGCAATGGACTTACATCAAATTGCTTGGTATACAGATTGACTATGTTGCTCCTGTCTTAATAACTGCTTAAATCGTGAAATGCATTTTTGTGTTATGCATCAAGGTCGAATTATGAATCTCGTTAATGTAGGACCGGAGATGAAATAACGAAGAAATAAATTCATGGGTGGGATGCATGGATAGTACAAACATCCCAGCAGCATTCCGAACGGCTTTACTGTGTGTCAAAATGCAAATCATGGCCTCCTATTGTAGTGCTTTGCTGAGTTTCAATATGGTTCGGCTTGGGTAGTTTGAATTCTCGTAGATCTGATCCAATAATATGGGCTCACCTTGGAGAAGATTATATTGTTCACTGAAAACTAGTAGTGTTCTTAGTCTAAACTGGTGAGGGTGCTGGAGTAAGCACTTCATGCGTTTCTCGCCATCCATTGTGGACCCACAAAAACAGGGAAGTCAAGTTTTACCAAGGGTGCAACACCCGAGTGTGTGTTTATGTTTTCTGAAGTAAACCTAGAATATATGCAAAATTTGGCAGAAGCGGACTAGTCAACTACTGATCGCAGTAGGTTCAAGCGTTAGGTGGATTTTGCACTGCTTTCCCGGCATGTGTTTAGCATCCAACATTCTTCTGCACACTTACCCAAGGTCACTTTCATGGAAAACGCAAGGCAAGTCGTGTCCTCCTATGTGAAATTTGTGAATATCGTGGGGGTGTGTGCTCATTATTTCATTAGGACAGAAGCAAGTTCTGAGCCGATCACTCTCAGGCCATGTAGTGATCAATTTACCTTGCTATTCGGTCGTGTACTCGCTTGATTGCTCAGTAAATATTTAGATCTTTCGCAAGTGTGGAATGTTTGATGCAACCACACACTCGAGTTAGTTTATGCAGACTAAGAGTAGCACTGGCCCAAGTACCGAGCTTTGTGGGACGCCATATTAAACCTCTGCCGGTCAGGCATAGCGTTACGAACCGGCACATACAAGCGGCGTTGCATAGGATTGAATGTGTCCAGCCCAAGATAAGGTCACTAATCTTGGAGCTCTGGTGCTTTTAAAGAAGGATACGGTTAACTGGAATATTGAGAATTTGAGAAAGCATGGTAATCGACGTTGACTAATTCTGCAACAACGACCCATTTCGCCATCGTGAAACAGGAGAAAAACCCTAGTGGTATATGATTTGTTTTGGTGAGATCCATGCTGTTTCGTCATGATCATTTTTAAAATTACTAAATAACACACGAGTGGTCCTGCAACAATAAGTTCCATAAACACAGCAAACGTGGAAAGAAGTGTAATTGGGCGGTAGTTTGCGGTCATAGCCCGATCGTCTTTCTTGTAAATGGCAGAGATTATTCCATCTTTCCATATGATCGAGTAGTTCATCTCGTTTAGACAGCGCTGAAAATACCGTAACAACTCAGCTAAGATCGTGGCAACTACCTTCAATGATTTAGGGCGTATAGGATCCTGATCAATAGAACTATACTTGCGTATGAAACTATTTCCTTTATCACATCTGCGTCAATGAAGGAGATGTCGGTAAATGCCTGCGGTTGTAGGATTTTGTGAGCATTTTATGAGATGGCGATTCGTTTTGGAAATTTCAAGCGAATTAATGGCTAGGAGCATTAGCTGCATTTTGGTCAGCTTGCTCTTGCCAATATCCGGTGTTAACAGCCGGGATGTCACGCCGTACATGCCTGTACATAGATTACGATTGCACGCACAACTTCTGCGCCGAATGCTCTCAGTGTTTCAATGTGTCTTCGCGGACAAGTATGAAGCGGTGGTTTCACTCGTTTATGCTGATATTCCATTTTCCGGCGTTTAAATCCTTTTTGCGTTTTTTAACGTGAAGCTCTCAGGACCATACATTTCCGCGTCCTGCTCTACAGGGAGGACCTTAACATCTTTGAGCTAAGGAGGTTAGCTTTTAATGCGTTTGTTATTTGAGGAGCGATGGAACAATTGAGAACATTTGAGCAGTACACGCAGTCTCCGATTGTCCAAAATCAAAGCAGAAATGGATCACAGGTCGCCAAAATGAATTCACAAGTGAGAATTGATTCATAGGCCTCGGAGTAATTTAAAAATCAAAGTCGGTCTGACATGAGTACTATTTCATATCAATAAAAAACAAATGTGAGAAACCCTAAACGAGTGATAATCCAACCTTTGATTGCTACTGCAGAAAACCAATCATGAATGTAAGCCAAGAATTGCAAATGATAACGAGAGGAAACAGGATAGGATACATGTCCGTAGGCGTGAAGCCAACTTTGTAAAACAACAAGGACTGGTCAAGCATATATGTACCAATAATAACTTAGAGCTAGTTGATTGATTGAAAAGGGACGGAGAGGCAAGCAGCAAGGAGCATTGCTCACAAGCATCTATATCAATGGGACCATAGCCGCGTTCACCGTAAAGTGTAGCACGTGTTAACAGCCACTGGCATATCATTCACTGCGTAGGCGCAGTGAGATTGCAAAATCATAGTGAGTGAGCTAGATGATCAAAGCTGCGGAGTTTGTCTATGTTCATGATTTGAGTAATAAACAAGAAAGACCGTGATGTATCATATGCAGAGCGAAATGAGGACACGATAATAAGTCAATGTAGTTTGTTGAGGAGAGACAATAAGTTTGCAACTTCCAAACAGAATAAAGGAATTGCTATATCTGACAAACTGGAGCGATTGCAAGGTTTGCATGCAATGGTTCGCGTGCTTCAGATATCCGTTGAGCTATGTTGGGTGGTACCTTTTTATGCACCTTCAGAGACATTCATGCCAGATTGGTCACTAGTTAGAGGCCAGATAAACTCAGCCTCCTGGTCCTCCAGCTTGGGGGTTGGAATGAGAATGGTGCCTTGTTCATTAAAACGGACTCCTTGTAGCCCATCGCCAAACCTTGCGGTCAGGATTTGAACTAAAGGTTTTGGTTGCGAAATCTAATCGTTCTCCTGTCTAAGCCTAGGCAACCTGACAGTATCCTGCTCATACAATACTATGAAACTTTCCTCAAGCAATTTTTTGATGCTCCGGCCACCCCAGAGGATGATAAACTGTGCCCTTTCTGCTGCATCGAGCAGGGTGGATAGGGGTTTGGGTACTACTGCTCAAGCCTTCCCTTCTTATTATTCCACCTCTTACCCTTTTTCACTCTTACAGTCCCCTTCCAGCTCCACTGTTTTCCCCCCAGTTTGCATCCTCCAATTCTTGGCCTTCCCCCACCTTGCTTTGATAAGTGCTTAGCTTCTAGATGCAACTTGTGTGCAAACGCAGAACGCCACTCTTACCCTGTTGACAAACTCATATCCAAACAAGCTGTCCGCCCCAGTTAATCAGCTTCCATTTGGAGCCCTCAATCCTCCTTCAGATTGGCATGTCTCAATGTACGCACATTGCTAAAGATTGGTCAACAAGCAGCAC